GTAAGTGGAATTAGATTTACTTGAAAAAAAATCTTTTTCCTTGTAATATGTTCAATTCGTCAAAATACCCACATTCGTCATAATGCCCCCACTTACCTTATATGTTTGAAAATACATGTGAACAAAATTCTGTTTTTTGGTGGTAGAGCCTGGATTCATCAAAATTGTGCAGAAGAATTGACACAATCAAACATTTTTATTATTTTTTCCAATTCATTATACACACTTCTCATCCATAGATATATAAAAATAAATGCCTGACCTATGGGCCAAACTTTATGATATTTATGTATGTGAAGTACAGATGCAAAAAAACTTCATAACGGCTAAGAATTGCTACTAAGGTAGTGATATCATATCACAATGTCATATCTAAAATGCTCTGAGATATATTTACTAGTCTGAATGTGCATGATATTATCATGAAAATATAACTAGTTATTTCTTATCGATTGCAAAAGAGATTGACGGATGTTGATTAATGAAGTTAGAACTCTTTTCCTTCCATCTGGCTCAGCAAGATCAAAACCAGAATCTTTAAGATTTATAGCTGGCCACCTTAGAATTTCAATTGACTGTTCTTCCGGAAAGCCATTTTCAAGCTCATTCCAATATTTAGCAGGGATCACAGCTTTATAAAAAGTGACATATGTCGAAATGACACGAATGGCGAATACGATCTGATCTTTAAAGTAACCCAGTTTTTCATCATAATAAGGACGTGAATTTTCACTTCCGCTGGATAGAATTTCTATAGCAAGTTGTGGTTCCCCGTATCCACTGCCTGGCCTGACTAAATCCAGGTGCTTATCCTACTTAAAAAGTTATTTGAGTGACAAAAGAAAGAACTTATCTCAGACAAACAACGACATACTGACTTCTACTGCAACCAAAACATTGTCTTGCGACTTAATTAAGAATTCAGGTTTTGCTATTACACAATTATCCCTGACATATAATTCGTATCTCGGTTTATTTCTGGATTTTAAGAATACTAACTTTAGAACAATTTAAGCGATTAAAGCGCAATAACAATAGGCTTACCAACGATTACTCACCTGATCATTAAGGGGAAAGCATTTAACTTAGCGATACGAAGTAAGTCATCCATAAGTGTGTCAGTAAGAGTTTCGTCTCCGCCTATCTTTTTAGAACTATTCATCACAACTTCAGTAATTTGGTAATGAGCGTTTGAACTCCAGGATCCGAAATGCATCCAAATTTGAGAACATCGAATTTTGCATTACTAAGGACATCGCTATCGACGTGAGGAACAACATACTTTTCCAAGTCAGTATCTAAGACTATATATAAATTGTAAGCATTAAGTTCGTTAAGAGGATTGTAAAGTAGTTCGTACCTTCAACATCTTTAGGTATTACAAGATTCTCGGCTAGAGCTGGTTTGATGCTCACCCTCAGTGGATCTAAATGAACTTTCTTGAATGAAGAAGCATACTCAGGGAACTTATGCGCAGGCTCAACTTGTTTGGCCCTTTTCTGCGAAGATTGAAAAAAGACTCTTGGTTGGAGAGTACATAATATAGGGCGAGAAAACCTTACAGCGAGACCGAGCAAAGACATTTTTATTTTGTGAACAAAATTCACATATTGATTATATATCTTCCGCACGCGATTGGTGTAACTCTTAGTGATCAGGATTCACATACGTAATCAGTTCACTTTTGTATATTTTTCTATTGATGTCATGTGTATATGATCGATGCCCCAGAGCGTGAAATTTTTTCATGCAGACATTAGTCCACAGACAATAGTATAGACGTCATGTATCACTGGCCAGGTCCCGAACATTTGTATTTATTTTTTCGCACAGTACCTCGATAGATAATATTTAGGCCTGAGTGAAAACTTGCATAACTTAGACGCTGTAAAAGATCTAACTCGTACCATTTTATCCTCACCAATGGCATCAAAAAGTTTGTAAATTTTTCATGCTCGTTCTGTTTTCTTTCCAAGTGCATCATCACTAACCTCTTTGGAAATTTTATTTCTAACTTCATCATTTACTAGAATTTTGGCAACTTGCTTTTTGTGAAATTTCTTATGGTACTCTAGGCATTTCATAAGATTTAATCCAAAATTATAATATCTTTTAATAACTCCTTGGTTCGATTTTCTATTATCATCTTCAGCACTAATAAGTTTTTTATATAAGTTGAGAAAATTAACTGGATCAGGATCATTTTCAGTGGTTGGTATCATTACTGATTGTGTAGAAATATTATTTCTTGCAGAATTCGGATTTTCAGTAGATAATTCATTTATTAATTTTTTTTAGATTTGAAGGCTCTTTTTTTGCACTTTCTTCACATAATCTTTTTTTAGATTTAGGCTTTTGTTTTTGGTAAGGTTTACATAATTTGAATACAATGTTGAGTTATATGGTAAGGTAGGGTTAAAAATAAAAGATGTATCTGGAGTTACCGTATTTTGGCTTTGACTATATGTTATTTGTGGTGAAATTTGCATTGGGTTTAAAGTACTTTGCCCCTAATTCTGTAAATTAGGTCCAGAATAACATGCATAATTACAGTCCGCTGATATTCCTAATTAGGAAATTGAGCTCTAGAATAATCTATGCATCGATCCTCATATTTGATTGGCTATTACGTATGTCGTACTGGCTGCACTTACAAAAAATTCTTTTAATGATTATTAGATAGTGCAAGTTTTCAAATAAGTAGTATAGAACGTCTAGTTTCATTAATCCTATTTAATCCCTCCAACAAACCTGTTTTGCTAAAAGTAAATGGGATGTCAAAAACCAGCTTTTTTTTTAGCTAATATGAAATATGAAGCTACGCTTCTGTCTCAATTCAGTGCAAGATCACTATAAAAGCCCATTGTGTCAAGACAGGTAAGTATACAGTATATGCTGAACTTTTAATTCAATACTTTATTGGTTTTAAGGTAATATATAGTTTATTAAATTTCTGAAATCTTATCTACAGGTTTATATAAAAAAGATCATAGCATGATAGTTAGAGCAGGACATAGCATAATAGTTAGAATGGAACATAGCATGATAGTTAGAAAAGAACATAGCACAATAGTATGAATAGAATATAGCATTATAGTTAGAATAAAACATAGCACAATAGTTAGAATAGGACATAGCATGATAGTTAAAATAGGATGTAGCACTATAGTTAGAACAGGACATAGCACTATAGTTAGGATAGAATGTAATACAATAGTTAGAGCGGGATAACATAATAGTTATAATAAAACATAGCATGATAGTTATAACAGAATATAGTGCAATAGTTAGAATGGGACATAGTACAATAGTTTGAACAGGACATGCTATGATAGTTAGAACAGGACATGCATAATAGTTAGAATGAAATATAGCACAATAGTTAGATTTAGGACGTAGCGCAATAGTCAGATTTGGGCATAGAATGATAGTTCGGGACGTAATATGATAGATTCAGGATGTAGCATAGTAGTTAGAACTTAATATGATAGTTAAATTTAGGACATAGCATAATAGTTAGATTTAGGGCATAGCATGATAGTTAGATTTGAGAAGAGTACAATAGTTAGATTCAGTGTGCACTACAGTAGTAAAGCTTGGAATATAGCATAATAGTTAAATTCAGGACATAGTACAATAGTTAGATTTGGGACGTAACAGCATGATAGTTAATTTAATTTTTTTTGTATTTTTTTTTTTTATACTTTTTTATTTTTTTTATCTTTTTAATAAAAATTTTAATAAAATTTTTATTGGATTCGAACTAATTTCTGAGGTTGTTATAAATATAAAAATAAATTAAATACTTGAATTTCAATTAAATAAATATCTAATCAATATTAATACATAGAATTAGAGACTTATTTTAAATAATATTTTATTAATAACATAAATAAAAAAAAAATAAATATAAAAATATAAATTAAGCAAGATTAGTGACAAGAGTATAAAAACTAAAACTTGATATATTATACATACTATATTTTAGCGTTAATATTTCAGATTTTATCATTACGGCGGTACTGGTATTATTACAGTATTTTATATAATACAAAAATTCCCATGATCTGGAATATTCTGATTGGCATATCAATACTATAAAAGATGTGATCTGCATTGTTCTAATTTGGTATATCAGCAGACTGAATTAATAGGTTTAATCTCTATTGCACATTTAGAGTATTGTAAAAGATCTTTTATATAATTCTCAAGACAACTATAGTAGTATATATATCTACAGATAAGTATGATAAATAGTTTTTTAAGTTTGTACAAAAAAAGCTCTTCTTTATACTTTGAGCATGGATCTAATTCTAGAATTTTAACACTTTTTGCAATAACCTCTAGAGAACCATTCTTAAGAATATTTAAAGCAAGGTTTTTAAGACATAAAATATTTTGAGGTGTTGTATTAGTAGACATATTTAAAGATAAAATTTTTTATAATTAAAAGAGTAGGTATATGATATTAAGGATTATAGACAGATAAGTATTAAAAATAATCATGTACTTTACTTATTTTTATGCATTAAATACTTTAGAGACTAACAAACTTAATTTGCAGATTTTATAAAAACTAATTTTGGGTTTGACAATCTGTTTATTTACAAATTATTTAGTATAAGCCAGAATTGATTAATCTTTACTAGCTATCATAAATGATTCACAAATTATAAATACAAAATTCTATTCTTATTTTATTCTAACATTGGAACATCGGATTAACTTAAGTAATACTAATTCAAAAATTTGTAATATGTATTATATCAGAACTTTTTAAAAAAAAAGTCAATAGATTAACTATTTATTTGATTGCAAAATTAATACTGTATTAAACCTGTTTTGATATCAAATCTTTCTTGTGATCTACTGCCATACTTAGAAAAAGCACTAAACAAAAAATTACTAAATATGCTAATAAAATCATTTAGTCTCAATTTTCAAGTTTATTAGCATTTTGATAATACCATTCTTGAGTATATTTTATTAATATGCTATCTAGTTAATAAAGCTATTTTTTTACTGTATACTAAATTATTATAGCTAAATTTATTTATTTTTTTATAAATGATATGTTTATTGAATAATAATTGCTAATCAATTTTTTTTATACAAAGCTACTTGGATTTTAAATTCTTTAAATTTAGAATTATTAGCTATAGATTTATTTTTGGTTAGATTATTTTTTACACAAAATACAAAATTTTTTCAATAATCCTTATTATTAATTTCATATACAGAAATAAATAAACTTTTATATATATATATTTAGATGTATAATACTTTGCAAATTGTAACTAAGTTTCTAGCATTTTTAAATTATTGATATAGTTTAACCCATATTTACTTAATTTATATCAGACATTATTATTTTAGATACTAATGTATAAATATATTATATATTAAATATATTGTTTTTACTTAACTAATACTTTTTATTCTTTTAGAATTTTGTATATCATCTTGATTTTATATCAAGTTTTTCAATTTGAAGTATTTTGCTAATATTTTTTATTTTAAAGAAAAAAATAATATATAATAACTATATATATAAGCTTTATAATTTGCTACCTATTACTAGTCTAGCTTATTAGAGTGAGCTAGATATATAGGATATATATTTATTTTAATATTTTTCTGAAAGTCTGCATATTATAGCTCTTTTTTCAGCTACTTTATAAGATATATTATCTTTTACCATATTTTCATAAGCTACTATTTGCCAATGTCTATATAGCAAACTAGTTATTCTATTAGATAATATCTAATACTTAGTATCTATAGAACAAAGAGCCTTCTTCTCTGACTTAACCAAGGATAATATATAATTTTTTGATCAAATATTTATATTCTTGATGTAAAATATTTCTTTTTTAAAGAGATAGTTCTAATATATTTAAGTCATTAGATTAAAGATTTTAGCTTAATTTACTAGATCATCTAATAATATACTATCTAAAGATAGAAAGTATATATTAATAGCTATTCTACTCATATCTTTTTTACTATATCAGTTTTGGAGATTCTAGTTTGTAAGCAAATTACTAATGTAAAGATTATTAAGCAAATATTGCTTTGTAATAATAAGTTTCACATTCGTATTGTTAAATTACTAATTTTTGGTGGTTTTAATATAGTTGTCTTGTCAGATGATTAGTCTGCGAGTTTCAATGGTAAGGTTTCATTTTAGCCTTTTCAGCCTTACTGGTCATCGATATCAGATTAGATTGATTATGATAGTTAATCTTCTGAGTTAAAGTAAGCTTTCTTTCAATTGTATTTGCTTAAGAGTTGTTTAAACTCTATTCATTTTGCAATATGTTTGCTTAGTAAGTTTGGTTTGAATAGTTGTATAGTTTATTTCTTTTCTGTACACCTTTCTGTTATAAGTTTGTTAGTATGGATGTGGTTTTTAGTAAGTTGAGCGCCTTTTGCGCTACTAATTTCTTTTTACAGTGGGCTAGGCCATGCTCTCTTTTGTGGAATGGTTTTGTTAATTATTTATTCAGAGGTGGATAAAGTCTTTGAGGTACTACTTGGTTACTATTATGCCTTTACTTGGGCATTAAGCTATCTAAGCTTTTATTACTTTGATATCAGGTTATTTATTGTTTATATTTATGTAGAAGGATTATAGAATTATACTATTTTACTTGCACAAGGTTTGTATTTAATAAATTGGTTTTTATTAAATTTATTTAGTAAAGTACTATACTAATTATATTTGTTAATGTTCTTTTAGCTCTTTAGTTCTGTTCCTGAATGTCTTTTGTTTCTATGTTGTCCCTTTTATATTGTGTAAATATAATATTATTTTATTATATTGTAGAGCACCATCTCTATTATATTGTTCTTTTATGAACAATCTTCATGTTCACATATTATAGTGATTTCTCTTTTGGGTAAAAGAGTTTGTTCGATTGTAAAGAGGCAACAATAGTGTTATTGTTCTTTAACATTATTCAATGCCATGTCTGGACTCCTATAGTCTCATTGGATGCCTTTGGGCATATGAGGTTTGTCAAATTGCTATCACATCGTTAATATGAATTGGTTTTAGGTAACCATTGTATGTTGAGCACTTGTTGTTTGATTAATAATTCTCCTCTTGTATTATTTTTGTTGGATGTTATTGCAAGGTTCTTGATTATTAATTCTTCCTAAGTGTTTAGGTGTTTATTTTTTTGAGTGTTTCTTTTCTCAGTTAGGTGCATCATGTTTTTTCTTTCTTTAGGACAATTCTTCATGAGCTTCTTTTAGCTTTTGATAAATTAGTTTTGTTATTGAGCATATTGCTCTTCTTAATGTCTTTGTGTGTTTGGTTACTTATATCTGAGTTCCAATTTAATGGTTCAGATTTGAGAGTTCTTTATAGTAGAAGGGGTAAACTACTATCAGATTTGTTTGAACTTAGCATTAGAGGTTGCTGAACTAGAATATGTTGAGCATTTTAATTATTTTCTTTATAGTTGTAAGGACATTAGAGCTATCTAGGGGGCTTTTTGAGGGGTGTAAACCCACTAGGGTCTTTTGCAAGGTATAAACCTGCTGAGCTAAATCTAAAATCGCATTGTGTTGAGGGGTGAAACCCGCTAATGTTTCAAAGGTCAAAAACTATTGTTTAAATACATTCAAGAAGACTATACTATAAAGATTTGTAAGCTAAATTACTAATATAACTAGCTATTTGTAAGCTATGACTAATTTATGACTAATGACATGATTAATAAGCTAATTAATAATGTTGATTTGTAAAAGATTTATTTATAAGCGAAGGTTAATAATTATAAGATTAATAATGTTGTTTTGATAATCGGGTTACCGAGTTTGGTAATTCTAAGATTTGCCGATTTAGGTAATTGTGTGTGACGAGCATTATGTGTAACGGGCGTGATCGGAATCGGTGCCGGTCGGGATACCATGTACACCGGATGCTGTGCTAGGGCCCTGAATGGGCACCGGTACGTTTGGACAAGATTTTGGACATGATACACAAAAAGAGTTTTTAATAGTTCAAATTTTGCCGACAACTTAATTAATTCATTAATGTTTAACACCTAATTTTATAAACTTTATAAAAGTGTAAGCATGTCCAGACATTCTTGGACTTGAACATGGACATGTCAAAGAGGCCTCGGGTATCAAAAATGTACAACTCTGTGAGTTACCGTCCCAAAGAGATCAGTCATGTGATATTGACCCGGGAAAAAAGAGACCGAATCCTTGAATTATCCGCTTGTCAAGCCTAAACACCTCTTACGATAAATTGGTTAAGTGGCATGAAGTTCAAAGATTTAAAAGATGAGACACTATTTTTTTAGGACACATTATCAAAAAAGACGATGGAATTACATGATAACAGCAATTAATAAAAGTAAAAAAAGAAAGGGAAATTCAATAAAGGCAGTAAAATTTGAGGAAACTATCAGCCAAAATTCGAATAAAGAATATTCTTTACAAAACCACTATAATAAAGTCTCCTATAATTAGAATCTTATAATGCAAGAAGTTGATTATTCATCGATCAACAGCCACTGCTTCCTTCTATGGGCTAATAGTTTCTTCAGTACGTATTATCATTACGCAACTATTATATATACACATAACCGAATCATGAGAGGTTTAAAAAATCCTATACATAATATAACCAAAACCTTTAAATAGGATGTAGTAAGCAGATTAAAGTAAAAAAAATTTTTTTGTTGATTTTTTAACGCAAATAACAGAGTTTGTTTTCCATTAAAAAATTGGTATTGAAAATTCATAGTCCCGATTAATCCAAAGAAGTTAACGGTAAGTTAGAGAACAATTACTTCAATTATTTATTTGATATTTTTTAAATAATATTACAGGCTATATCATTATACAGTATGCTGATGTGATTCGCAATAATTTATATAGAAATAGATCTGGTAAGGTATTTATTTATTATTAAACGGGCAAAGGATAGAAAGAAAACAAATAAATTTATTTTTTAATTATACGTATACAATAGAGAAAAGATCAATAGATTGATAATAACAACATAGCGAAATTTATTTCTATAGAGTTGCCAAATCTTAATTCAATTGGTTTAAATCAAAGATTACAATATTGGTATTCATCTTATGAACGTATTTCTGAACTTGTAAAACTGCTTCGAAAAAATGTACGTACGTACGTACTATAAAATTGTTTACATCATTATTTATTTTTTAATTTATTTTAATTTTATTCATCATTTATAAGGGATGAAAAGATAACAGTCGAAAAAGTCAAAATTGATGACAGTTTACGTTGTGAAACATGGATGCAAAATGCAACCCCGAATATTTGACATTTTTAGTACACACGTTCGGAAGTGGAAGGAATATTTGGATGCTAGGTTTAATATGTAACAATTAGGCTGATTTGCTAGCCCTCAAAATGGTGGATGGCAAGAGTAGGAACAATTCGACGATGTCTATGATCGTCCCGGTAGCCGCATGCATGTAGTAGGTACGTACATGGCAAGGGCTGACTTTCGTGAAAAGTACCAGTTTTTAAATGGTGTAAAGTGGTGTAATATTTTAATAACTTTTATTATGGCGCTTTAATGATGCTAATAATGATGGATAAGGATAAGTCACCTTGCATTACAGAATTATTACTCTGATCCATCAGAATATTGCGAAATCTATCTTTTAGTTCGAAATCTAAGAAACGCCCAAAAAAAAAAAAAAAAAAAAACACACAGCAGCTTCACATGAATAACAATATAAAACGATAACATTTATTTAAATCATGCATTACTTTCATAAATCGATCATTCATTTATATTTTACTTTCACCTGATTACTTTGTATGCATACCAATTGTAATTTAGAATTTTTGTGTCTATAAAAATCCCAGGTTCACAAAACTCTACTTTTTTTATTGGCCGATCTATGCATAAAAAGATTGTTCCTTACGTATGCACGTACGTACGTACGTACGTACGTACGTATGTACTGTACGTAACTAATATGATTCATGCATTATGCTCTATGAATTGTGTTATTGTCTCCCTTTGATCAGAAAAATTTTTTGGTAAATTACATGTAAAGTCCAGATTAAATAATTTTTATTTAAATACTTACGTACGTGATGCGGAAATCCGATGGTCTGTGCATTTTCTTTTCAATTAACTAATGTCCAGAATTTGACGTTAACATTTTGAAGGCTTAAAGTTAAGGTATTAGAAGAAATGAACTCATTGGATTCATTTGCAGGTATATAGATATTGAATAGATATCATTTTATCGATTATGTTTAATCATACCGTAGCAATGTTCACACGCAATGTATTGTGGTAATAATATTACCTATTTCTGAATGTTTATTTACAATATTTGCATGTTAGTCTTGTCGATTTTTTCTGAAAACTTGAAAAAACTGGTCTTACGATGAAACTAATTTGGTGACCCATTGTTTTCATCTCATTGTTTCAAATTGGTAACTTTTGGTCATGTGATTCTTTGAACTTGTGATCATCTAAAGTAGACAATCCACATTCGAGGCAAAGTGCGTTACGTAAAAACAAAGAACCCATTTAATGTAATGCTATCGTGCCATATCAATTATCTTTCGTAAAATATATATTATTTGGTATAGCTCAGGTGCATCATTAATTATATTAGAAAGAAACTTTTTTGATATATAATCTGACCTTTTTTTCATTCATGGTTTCACGATTCTTTTTTTTTTTTTAAAAAAAAAACAATTATCCCGAAGTTATATATAAATATTATATTATATTCATTTATTAAGGAATTGATGAAAGGTTCATACTTTCTCTATTCATACATCATCAAATGATCCCTTGAAAATTTTTTAGCCTGTCTTGGTATCAAACCTTCATGAGATCATCCTGATTATACTGATTATAACAAAAAAAAATATTTGTTACAGGGGCACAAACAGTAATTTTTATTAAATCAATAAGGATTCATTTTAAGTTAAAACTTTGTTTTACCACATAAATTGATAAGCTGATGGTTTTTTTTATAGCCGTTTTTTTTTTGATTTTTTAGGCTCTCTCTCTTCTCTATCATCCTTTCTTAATGATTCTTTCTTTCGCAATTAGGCGATTATTCTATACTTAAAAAATTATTATTATTTATTTATTTATTATTATTATTATCATTACTATTATTATTTTTATTTTTATTATATATTTATTCCTCGAATAATTTTTTCAATCCATTTTATCATATTACATTTCTCCAAGGATTTTTTTGCGCAACGATGCCTTCAATGACAAAAAAGCAAAAAATGATACAATTTTCTAAAATTAAAAATCATGAAATCCTTATCGACCAATTTTCTGCCCTTCACTTGATTGATGTAGATTACAAATTGTTTAAACCAAAGCTCGCTCAATTAAACAACTCTTATAAAAAAATTCATTCCTGTAAAGAAAGATACGAATCTCGTCCTTTAGTCGATCAACTCATGTTACAATTGGTTAACGCCTCATTCGATCAAATTGACAAGAAACATTTGGAATACTTTCAAAAGCAATGGGAACATGCCGGCAATGGTGAAAAGTTCATGATTCTCGTTTCCGATTTATTTTTAAGATCTCAACATTTGTATCGTTCTACTTATGTTTGGATTAAAGACTATATACTTGGGAAATTTGTTACCAAAGTCTCTATATTATTTCTCAAGATTGGTGATTGGTTTTCAAAACCAATTTTTAAGTCTAAACATAATGATAAAATTAATGATAAAGAAGAAAAAATTCCTTTAGTTGATGAGGATGATAAAATTATTAGCGAACAAAACTTTTCATCTCAAGATATCTTTTTTGAACTCATGAACGATATCGAATACGCTTTACAAGAAGTGAAATTCGAATTCTTTTACACTTTAAAATATCATGAATTGTTCATCGACCAAATGACTTTACTTCAGTTGATGGATTCTAACTGTTCTGGTAATTTGGAGGAACTCTCAGACTTAAGGTCTGATGTTGAAGAGGGTTATAAAACTTTTATAGATGCTCTACAATCATTGCAACCGCAATTGTGTACGGAAACTAGAATTATTAGTCGAACCGAATATACTAAAACAGAAGGATTTTTAGGTTTTACATCATTGGATTGGTTTTTGTTGGTTCTTATTAAAGAAACTGGTCAATGTATTGACAGACATCTTGATTATATACCGATGACTCAAGAAGAAGAATTACATTGGGTGGAATTTAGGAGGCTATTTCAGTTAATAATTGGTTTATTCCATTCACTTACTGGTAATTGATTGTCTCGAATTAATCTAGGTTTTTTTTTTTGTTTTCTGTTTGTATTTCTTTTTTTTTTTTTTTTTTCTTCGTTTTTTTTTTTTCTATAAACTCTTGTAGATTCAAGTGATTGTGCGTCCTTATTATTTGTCTTTCTGTACATTATTAGCTCGAACATTACGTACCATCAATATATATACATATGTATATAGACGTGTAAATGAGCGAAACACAAATTTTTGTAAATTGTTGTGCATTAATAGATTGGTATAAATAAATATATTACTATAAAAATCTTTCGTGGATAAATATTTATCTCGCATGAACCGCGCGTAAAATTTCACACGTATATAACGATGTTTATAATTTGCAAATTTTTGCTTTTTTTTTTTTTTTTCTTTACAAAATTTTACTAACGTTTTCGTGTCATCCTAAAAAGGAGTTCAAGGAACAGCCGCATGAACATTATGTTACCATAACAGTGTAATGGATCTAACCGGTTATAGTTAGAAAGTTTACAAAGTTCGTCCCTTTCAATGATTTTTTCAACTATCACTACAGGGCATTTTAACGTTAACAAATAAAAAGGTTTAAATACTTACCATTTATAACCTTATTGTAGTTAATCATTGATTTATTACGTTAACAACGGATAATTAATTATTGTTACGATTGATGCTCGAAATCAGAAAATTTTGGCCGAATTATACGGATAAGGCTATACAAAATTAGTTAATTGATTCTCATGACCGGGCCGGATATATACAATATTGGGGTATACGATATCCTATTATTAGCAAACTTATTGAAGATCATATATTAAATCGTATTATAAAGAATTTTTCACAGCCTGTGATTTTTCCGAAATTTATATAGTAAAAATACATTTTTTCAAATCGCTATTTCTCTTGCATTTTTAAAGATGAAGATATAATTTTTGCTTAAACTAATAGAGAATAAGTTATAGTTTTATGATATAGAAAGCTTTTTTGACTTTAAAATAGTCATCGTGCAAAAAAGAGTTTTTTACATAATTAACCATTTTAAAGTCAAAAAAGCTTTCTATATCATAAAACTATAACTTATTCTCTATTCGTTTAAGCAAAAATTATATCATTATCTTTAAAAATGCAAAAGAAATAGCGATCTGAAAAAATGCATTTTTACTATATAAATTTCGGAAAAGTCGCAGGCTATGAAAAAATTCTTTATAATACAATTTAATATATGACCTTCAATAGATTTGTTAATAATAGGATATCACACACCCCAATCACCCATGGTTAAAAATAGTTAAAAACTTAAGTGATAATATATATCATTAAAAGAAGCTTGTTTATTTATCTCTGGATAACTTCTTTTTCATTTTTGATGTCAAATTTTAAAACAAAAAATAGGACTTTTCAAACTTCCACTTATTTTCAAAATAAATTAACTCTGAAACCCCATTACTTACCACTAGGGATGGTAAAAAAAAATGTGTCAAACAATTTTTTAACCATTTTTTTATTGTCTTAAAACTTTTTTTAAAACGTTGAAGTTTGAGATAAAATATTGCTTCTGTTTAATTTCAGCTGAGAAATTTTTTTAAAAAAGATTGTATCTAATTCCGAATTTATCAGATATTGCGTTCAAAAAAATAAAAAAAAATATTAATGTAAGCTATTCGTTTTAATTTTTATTAAAGCTATCGATAGCCATTATTTTAAATATGAAATTTGCTTGTCAACCAATACAACCTTTTATTCTATATTAGTTTGCATTTGTTGGATTGAAGTCCAAGGTTTACAATATTGCCACTATGTAAACCCATTGAATATATTTTTGTAAGTGAAATTATTTGAAGTACCAGAATCCTATTTGAGTTTTTAAGAAGTTTTTATATTTTAATAAATGACCTTTTAACTGGTCAACTAAATCAACATAGTTTTCATCACAATAATTACATTTTGGCGAGTGTTGTTCGATCATATTTATGAGGTTCATTAACTTTTGTAAACTTTAAACAGATTTCTTTGACGGATAATATTATACATTTGAATCATAATTACATCATAATGTTGGGTCTTTACCTTGAAAGTGACCTTACGGGACTATGTTGATTTTGTGAATAAAAATTAAATTTCTAGCCATCTAATAATCCAATTTAAACAATTTTTTTTATTTTGTAGAATTCACTAAGCTCTACAAAATAAAAAAAGTTTATTTAAATTGGATTACTGGATAGCTAGAAATTTTAATTTTTATTTATATAATCTACATAGTTCTGTAAAGTCATTTTCAAGGCAAAGACCCCATGTATTAAAACATTTTTTAATTAGAGAAGCATCATTGGGTATTACAAAAATGTGTATTGTAGTGTATACCACCATTTGTATAGATGTATAGTATAATATTAAATTAATTATACATTACATATTTTTGAAAATGCAGTTTAAAATTTAATTGTTTGGAACTAAGCGAAGGTGCTATTAGCATACAAATAAAGTGAATATAATATTGTTTTTTTTTTTATATGCATGTATACTTGAAATTCAATTACACTAAATTTTTTTTCTTTGACTAATTTAATGCACTGGGTATATACTACACAATATATGCAATAGTATTACCATTTACCATGGGTTCAATAAATACATAAAGAATACATACTAGGATCCTCCAATATTTATCTTTTATTTATCCACTTTTAACCTGATTTGTTACAGTAATTTGGCAGATCTATGGTAACATAAAGGATGAATACTAGTGCTTGGCACAATCAAACAAAAATTTGACAGTCAAATACTTGTTAATACTTGTGATTAAGTCAGACATCAAA